GATTTAACCAGTTCAGCTAGGTCTCTCGATAGGGGTCAACCCCAAAATCTGCATTGCTTTTATAGTAAAAGCACATCAACTTTCAACACTCTATCATTTCAATTAGATGTAACTTTCATATCTTATTCGCATCATTACTTAAAGCAAATTGACTGACTGAATATGTCTATTTTGGAAAAAATAAAGTTTGATGTAGCGTATCAAGTTCTTGTTAATACGGAGTATAACTGAATATTGAAACTTCCAGATGAAAATAGCAAAAGTACATAACATATGCAAAGTATCTACAAAACTATACTACATCTATACCAAAACTGTTTTTTATAATTGCGCATATATTAAGAGGTGTTGTAAATGAATTATCTATCCTTATTTAAGTATGACATTTAACTTTGTGTTTGGTTCAATGGAGGGGAGAGATTTTACTAGAGGGGGGAAGGGGAGAGGAGATATATAACTAATACCTTGCTTGGATAAATTAGAGGGGAAAACCGAACACAGTCATCTTAATGCTACGTTGTTGGATTTAGGAAGACAAGAGAGAGAATAAGAGCAATAGACCATCTTTCCCTTATCTATTAAATAATACATGGACAATTTTAATCACAAAATATAATTATAAATATTACAATGCATTCATTTGCAAATATTTTTTCATCGTTTGCAATGGAGCCAAAGACTCACTATTTTTTGGTTGGGGAATATGATGGAATAAAGCAAAATGGCTTACTCAACCGTCTGCGCTTCTTTGCTATGAAGCAGCAGTCAGTCCATGCAATTTTCGACCCCCTTACCCTACCGAGAGTGTGGGAGCCTTTGCGGCACTGGGGTGATGATGATGATTCATTTGCAAATATATTTGGTGTCTTAAAAATATTATGTAGTAACATAGTGTTTTAAATATTACTAATACGTTTAACGATATAATCTTACTTTGAATGTGGGATGCAAAGAAACCATATTTCTCCCGGTACGTATTCCCCGATTTTGAAAGGGAGCATCCTTAGATATTTTTTTCATAAGAAACAAGGGGAAGGAGCAAAATCCCTCTGCTTCCCTCCCATCCCCCTCAAAACAGTCTCTCAATAGTTTAAGGGTATGTTTGTTGGTTATTATAGGGGTAGAGAATGAAAATGATGTCTTTCCCTCGTTTGGTTTTACAACAATGGATGGGGTGCCGTTCCTTCCCTTCATCTTGTATCCTTCTGGACGGGAGCTTATGGGCGGAGGCTAAATTTCACTACATCCTCTCCCCTCCAAGGTAAGATAAAAACACTCCATCCACAGCTCTTCATTCCTTCCATTGAACCAAGCACGGAATTTCATTTTTCTTTGCATTTTGCAGTACCCTTTTTTAAGAAAACGGCTAATCTATTACTAGTATGAGTTAATATGGTCAAACTAGCTGGGATTTGGGTATAATATTTTATGTATACTAATTCCTAAAAAATATAACTAGGAGAAAAGTATTAGCTAAAACAACAATTGCTTTGAAAGTAAGAAAGTGATAAAGCATAAATGGTGATTGATGGGACCTTATTCTCCATGGACTGCATAAGAGGAGAATCGATTGTGCGGAAACCATTCTGGTCGGCAGTTGCTCGGGTACACAGAGTCCGGCGGAGAAAAAACGGGGCCGTCACCGTGCCGATAGGACAAAGGATCTTCCCCGACACGGTCTTGCTAACTGCTACTGGATTAGTCTTCACTGGAACTGAAAATTTGACGAGGTTACTTGAAAAGCTAAATCGCGAGGCGCAAGCGATTGCCATGCTCGGCCGCGTAAGCAACGAGTTTGCCATTGCCAGCTAGATAATTGACTATTTCTTTGCCGTGCAGCCTCCTCTTCGAAGGAACCGATGAGGACAAATGGGAATAATGCCGAACATTGTTTTTACGGAAATTGTCGACTAAAAAGTTCCTAAAAAGCACAAATAGGACTATTATTTTTAAAATTCTCTAAATAGGACTAAACATTGATTTTCTACCCTAAATACCCCTAAGAGTATTAATTCATAATGAAATGCTTTAATTCATAATAAAATCACATAAAAAATATTTAAAAAACGTCAAAAAATTATAAAAAATTTATAAAACATTTATAAAATAAAAAATTTATTTTTTTATTTTTTTAATTTTTTAAAAAAATAATAAAAAATAGTAAAAACCCATAAAAAATGAAAAAAATTATGGATACCTTTCTCACCGCCTCCCGCCGTCTCCCAGCACCACCACCTCCGATTGGTGAAATTTCTTCCACTTTTGGTAAAAAAATGCCATATTTTTCTGAAAATGCCAAAAAGATGGCATACTTACTCTTCAATATGCCAACATTTTCATTGAATATGCCATCATTATGGCATTATTTAAAATGTTGGCATATTTTTCTCCGGTGATGGGAGATGGTAGTGCTGGGGGGTGGCAGGGGTGGTAATGTTTTTTTTAATTTTTTGATTTTTTTATTTATTTTTTATTTTTTTTAAAAAAATATTTTTTTTTAATTTTTTTAAAAATATTTTTTATTAATTTTCTATTATTGTTTTACGATTTTTAGTATTTTTTTCGATTTTTATTAATGTTTTTATGATTTTATTATTAATTAAAACATTTCACAAGTTACAAGGGTATATTTGTCCAAACACACATAAATAGTCCTATTAAGGGAATTTAAAAAATGTAGTCCTATTTGTGCAATTTTGCCACTTTTTAGTCCTATTTAGGGAATTGACTCTTGTTTTTAATGGGATGTTAATTTTTTGTTTTCATGTTTAAGTTAAGCTTTGGCCCAATCAGATGAATGTTTGTTTTATATCTTTGGACGTGTTTGGCATTCAGCCGTTAGTGTTTACGGATAACAGATTATGTTAGCAGGTTGTTATTAGCGGATTCAATCAGCGGGTTTGACCAGCAGAATAAAATTGGCAGGTTTCAGAAGATGTTTAGTAATTTAGCTGTTTGGCCATAAAAATAATACAAAACGTCATTTTTCAAAACGCTAACCCAAAACTCTCCTATTTGAAGTGTTTTCATTTCGGCGGTTCTGTCCAAAATCGCTAATGCCGAACCGCTATTTACCAAACAGCGTTTTCACTCATCGAAAACGCCAAAATTTGTCAAACTGTCATTTTTTGGCTGAAGCGTCATTTACCAAACACCCCCTCTATGTTTTTATGGGGTATCTCCCAGGATTTAACCTAAACTATTGTGACATAAATGTTTGTTTCATATCTCCCGAGATGATAATGTGACATAAATGTTTTTATGTGTCTTTATAACGGTTGAAATCTAGTTTGGTTTAAGTCTAATATTATCTAATCTATTCTCATTAAAGAATAAGAAATAAATCCAATTACAAACAACATAAATATCAATAATGGTTGTTCACCACTCACATTGATAATGGTGTATATGGAGAAGGTAGAAGCAATGGTAATGATGAGATTACCCTAAATAGTAGGGAGGTACCAATAAGTGTTATGTTTTGTTACATATGATTAGTGCTGGACTCGGGCCGGGCGGCCCGGCCCGGAACCGGCCCGGCCCGATTACTGTTTGGCCCGGCCCGGCCCGGGGCCCGGTGGGTCTACCGGTTCGGTTCGGCCCGGCCCGACTGCTGGGCGGTTCGGGCTCGGGCCCAGATTTTGGTGAACCGGCCCGGCCGGTTCGGGCCCGGTCCGGGCCGGATTTTAATTTTTTTTTTTTGAATTTTTTTTAAGTTTTAGGTTGGATTAGGTATTTTGGGCCATTTGAGGTGGTTTGGGATGGTTTGGGGTTGAGGGGGAGGGGTAGGGGATTAAATAGGAGAACAAAAAAAAAATTAATTGGGCCGGTTCGGCCCGGCCCGGTTTGGCCCGGAACCTCCCTTTTCTGGCCCGAGGCCCGGCCGGGCCCAGGCCCGAACCGGGCCCGAACCGGGCCGAGTCCAGCCCTACATATGATCAGAACATGATGAATGAAATGAAAGAATGTGTCTTGATTTCTATATGATCGATGTATGCCGACTAGACTGAAGGGTAAGTATTACATGACACGGTAATTAAGTTTACATTACTATATGGTTGTGGTGAAACAATGTCACATTCAAAAGATGAGTGTCGTTGAGATGCACATATTGCGTTAGATTTGTGAAAATACTACTCCCTTTGTCCCTTAAAACTTTGTCATCTTTCCTTTTTGTGACGTCCCAAAAAACTTTGTCATTTTCCCTTTTAATCAATATTTTGTGGTTTCTGTTATTTCTCTCTCCTCTGTACAAACCTTAACCATACAGTTTTTACTTTATTATTCTCCGTGCCGGTCAACTTTGGCAAAATTTTAAGGGACGGAGGTAATATAAAAGATCATTTGGGGTATGAGACAATCAAATAAAAGGTGAGTGTACAACCTAATGAAGATAAGATGTGGGATTCTCGATCGCGATTGTTTGATCATGTGCGTATAAGACTTGAAGATACACTTGTTGAACCGGTTGAGCGATGTGAAGAAGAGACGAGAAGGAGAGGAAGAGGAGGACCCCAATCAACGTGCATTAGAAGAGTAAGAAGTGCTATGCTTCTCTTTGAATTGCACGAGAGTATAGCAAAGTGGAAAGCAAATATTCATGTGGATGATTAATCTTTTTCAATTTTTGGTATTTTTTTAATTCTCTTTATGTTCATTACCATTTATCCTTTTAATTTTATATATGTTCTTTTCGTTCTTTTTATTTTATCATTTTTATCTTTATTATTTATCTTTATCTTATCTTTTTTATCTTTTTATCATACTTTATCTTTCTTATCTTTTTTCTTTTTGACTCGAATATCATATATCGATCCATGTTAATCAACCCGAAATTCTTTGAATACTAAAGCTTGGATGTTGTTGTTGTATAACCCAGTATTTAATTATTATTTGATGATGTTGTATTTAATTAGTTCATTTAAATGATAAGAAAACATATTTTGTTTCATCGTAAATAATATATTCTGATTTTAGGAAATGTTTTTTTTTTGTGACAGAGTGATTGTGAAACTGACTGCTGCCCAAATCAATATACCTACTTTGATCGGCTAGCATATGACTTATATACATTATTTGCTACATTAACTCTGCAACATGTAATTTCTTCCTTGATCCTGGAAAAACTAATAAGTTGCAGATTGTTACTTTTCTGTATTTACAGTGAAGCTCTCCACTCCGAAATCAATGTTTTATCAGCATGGCTTCAAGATTTCTCCTATTAGCAGCACGCTTTAGTTTCTCTAGAGCTACGTGCCCAATCTGCCTCACTCTCTCCCTTGATAATCCTATCCTGAAAAGCAAAAAAAGGAAGAAAAACAAACAAACAAACTCCAAGATAGCATTTTAGGACAACTTCATAACAGGCTCATCCGTATCTTTTACCTATAATACAATAACAGATAAGCAAGCTAAGCTAGTTTATTTTTTATTTCATAACTATTAAGTGGGGTAACGATGATGATGATGATGACGATCGACGAAGAACTATAATATGAGTAACACATTTTAAAGTATATGAAATATGACTTATACATGATTAAAATAATTATGATGGATAAAAATGTAATCTTTATGCGCGAGTAGGAAATTAGTAATTTTTAGTGACTATGTTATGCTCAATTTAAACACAATACCCCGCAAACAAGACTACGTAATACCATATTTAAACAAACCCGACCAAATGACATTTTTAAACACACCAAACTCTCACAAAATCTCAGTCCAAATGAATGGGCTCTTACCGTCGTCCAATGTCATCCCACGTAAGACCTTCATCATCAAAACCGTAGTATAAACGGATAATCTCCCTTTCACGATCCTCTAGTGTTGCATTCATCAGGTTATTTACCTCTGCCTACCAAACACCATAAAAAATCAGAAAAAGCCTTCCACAATATTCAGTTACAAATACAAGGGGAAATAAAGCATCCAAACAGAGAGTATCCCTGAATTGTTTCAAATCCATAAATATTTAAAAGTATGATGGGATAATGGCTAGTTACTACCTTGAGTGCCCACTCATCAACTCCGTGCCAAGGGATGTTTTCTGGGTGATTGTCTGCAGTGTACTGCAAAGAGTAAATTTTTGTTAAAAACAAACAAGGTGCAATGACCAATTGAACAGCCTATGATGACATCCGGCAAAAACAATGACCAATTGAACTTGGATTTCTCTTCATCTATAACTGCTGGCCTTAGTGCCCTCTCCGAGAAAAAGCAGATAATGGGTTTAAGAAAACAGCTAATATGTTACACAGGTTTACAGTATCCAACAGCTAATATGTTACACAGGTTTACAGTATCCAATTGAATAAAAGAAGTCGATAAATTTGGACTCACACTATGAAGGGTTTCTCCTGGATTACCATTTAAAGAAGGGAAAGCTTCCCTGTCAAGAGAGAAGACCTTGATGATTGCCTAGAAGAACAATAATGTTAAGCATTAAGATTAGGACCTAAACTTAATAATTAAATGAAAATCAGGGAACGTTTATTACCTCGCTTGCATTTTGCACTTTCTGTTCAGATATATTAAGAGATTCAGCAATTCTCTGGTTTAAAATAAGGTTCACTAATCAGCCCCATTAGAAGAATCATCTTATGCTTGATGCCTCAAATCAAGCGTCGCCTTCACTCAAGATAATAATTTAAATAACTTACATCAATTGATGGTGTTATCCCCTTCCCTGCAAGCTTCTTTTTGGCATTTCGGATTAGGCTCAACCTTTCATGCAAATAGTTTGGCAATCGTACCACTCTTGAGTTCTCAGCTAATGCCTTGGTGACACCCTGACAAAAGGCACATAGGTAACTACACTTAATTTCATTACACAAGACAAATCACTATAAAGCAATGGCAACGAAGGGTAGTAAAATAGGATTATAGACTTCACCAGACGAATCCACCAAAAAACATACGTTGAGATTTTGAATCCTTTAGAAGGATCAAATTTTTCTATTCCACGGAGTAGTCCAATTAGGCCACCCTACACAAAGTTAAGATATCTTACCGATTAAAATTTCCACAATGATCGGTGCAAATGCACCAAAAATATACATCCCTAACTCACTGGCTAAAGGGCACAAAAATTACCTGAACAAGATCGGCCATTTCAGCTCCCATATTATCATATCTTTGTGCAATTGACATGACAAGACGAACATTGCTCATTGCAAGCTTTTCCCTTGCCAAGTTACACTCCATTTTTGCAGCTTGCAAATCAGCACTAGAAGTCCTCAGTGAATTTGCAAATTGCTCATTTGTAGGCTCACATCCCAGTCTATCCTTCAGTCTATTAGGTCCCCATGTAATACAAACCTCGTAAGGATATGTCAAAAGCATTTTTGAAAAAGGAAATCACATAGAAAAAATAAGAAAGGTTGAGCACCTTGATCTGCATTCTTCTAAATAAAGGCCTAATTTAACCTTTTTTGATAGTTGCACCACTTCAGCGTGAGTGAGAAGCTCACCACTCGCAACACCCTTAACATAACTTCTTAAGTGGTTTCGAAGCACCTTTTTACCAGAAGTGGATCTTCCTCTCTTGTTTATTAATACCAAAGGATTTTTACACTCAGAAACCTTCTTTCGGGAATCTATTCTTCTCTTTCTAGCAGATGTCCCTGAACAAGTGATTTGAACTCCCTCAGATTTGTTTTCCTTTGCCATGAAAGTCATCATTTTTTCGGCCGAAATAGCCCACTGTTTTTCTAGAAAAGACTTCTGCAACAGTAGGATAGCTTCTACTTTATCTTCCTCATCAGAGCTGCTTTCATCTACCGACTCACTGAATCTCTTATCAAATGGATCCCTGTTAGAAGTGTCAAGCACAAAGTCCGTGCTCTCCTTAACGGCCTTGATGGAACACACTCTACGATTTGAGATAAAAGGAAGGGTATAATTGGGTGAGTTTTTAGCAGTGATCACACTGCAGCTACATGACAGCTTTTCAGCAACATCAGAATGAGAATAAGCGGAGGAAAGAAGCCTCTTTCCTGCACCAAGTCCAAAATCTGCGACATTGACCACCATGAAGGCTTCACCTAATTGATACTCACGTGATCAACACCACCACAGAACATAGTAAGGTAGCTTAATCCCAGCCCGCACTAAGTGCAATTTCTTTCAGATAGCTAACATAGCTTCTGCTAGGCAAGAGAGGGAGAATAAGCCCCAGAAGCATACTACAGACCATAAAATGCATGCAAACATCATATGAGCAATCAAGTTCAGGGCAGAACAGACAAGTAGTGAATCGCAACTTTTGCTCTTTAAATTGTTAGTTACGCAAAATTATAATTTCCATTTCGAATAAATCGAAATTAATCAAATCAAAGTTGTAATTGCACTCAGATGCCCAATACCCACTCGCTATATGAGTAATCATGTAACCTCTACTTGTAACTGTAGACCAATTCAATAAAGCTCTTCAGAATAATCCGTTCGGAAGAAAAAAATAAACTAGAGAAGACGAAATTTAGCAGACATAGCATTACAATCTGAACCGCGAACACGAATGAGGCCCATGCACTCACAATAGATTAACAGCGATCAGTCGGAGAGAAATGCCATGGTTAACCGGCGAACTCGAGTCTAGTGCAATGGTTCTCGTTATTTTGAGTGATTGTTACGTTCATTAGTCAATACAGTACTATGTGCTCTTCAACATTTCTTCGACGATATTTAGGAAGAGATATGTGGCGAAATGTGGGATTGGAGGGAAGCAGATATGTGGTGAAGCTCTTTTAGCAGCAAGACGATCACACACTTGGCATAGCTGTGGGGCTCACATTATCCTTGCCCTTGTGCGGCCGTAACTTACAACCGGGAGTGCGTATAAGCTTGCCCTTGTGTCCAAAACGGTGTCGTTTGAAGCACGCTGCTCCAATCTAAAAATTCGTGTACTATTGTTCACGTGTATTAAAAAAAGAGTCTAATTGCACAATTGCTTTAGATAAAACGTGTTTGTTTTTTGTTTTTAATATCATGGCCATAAAAAATATTTTTTTAGAAAAGATCATTTTTTGTTTCAATAACACGGGTTGATTTTTTAATCTAACTCGTGTTATTACAAATGGAACTCGCGTTGATGGTCAATGTAATTTGAATGTAAATCACGTGTAAGGAGGATATGATTTGTTGAGAAAAATTGACATGTAACTCACTCTAATAGATATGTAACTTTAGGTAAATTCTGATGTGACTGTTTGTATTTTCAAATGTAACTCTGTGTATTTTCACGTGTAAGTGTCTGCTATTTTTAGAGTTCTCTTTCAGAATTTGGTGTTTAGGATTTGAGTTGGGTTATTCAATGGAAAATCCAAATCCACTTATAATTTAGGAAGCACAATTTAACGATTTTGTGAATGGAGCTCAAGTGATATTTGACCAGTTCATGAGCAGTGGGGAGGCCAAGTGGTTGCGTCAGACTGGTTTAGTTGTTCTTCTGCCTCACGATTATGATGGCCAGGGTCCTGAAATTTCGCCATTTAATACCCTGCAGCAGAAGCGGACCGATGAAGGAGATCAAAGGAACGGCATATGCTATAGCGGACAAGGATCAAGAGAATAGCTTGGCGGAGAAGAAAAAATGATTTGTATTGTTTTTAATTAATCAAACGGCACCGTATTTGGACCGGCATACCATGCGCATGGTATGTCGGTCATACGGTATAATTTGGATGCAACCGATTGTAAAGAGCTCATCCTAAAATTTTGTACTACGTTGTTTTAGTGATTTTTAGTAAATTGTATTCGGCTACGTACAAGAAATATAATTTTAATATGTGAAAGGAATTAAATGGAAGTAATAAAAATAGAGCTGAAAGCTTTATTCTTGATTTGCTAGAGTATAAGAGGTAGTTGTTAGTGTTTTACAATCTCAGGGCTATATACTATTTATAAAGAATGTGTAGATATGTTTCTTATTCTTCTGTCGATTGAATTGAACAAGTACCCTTTGAAATATCAGTTCACTCTCCATCTTCTTTCCCTATTTTCTCACCAATCCATATGATTGCTCAACTGCTTGAAATTATCTCCTACCCTCTAGGACTTCACCTAATTATCCACCCAACCTCAACATATTTATTAATTATGCAAAAACAATTAAATCCTTGCTTTAATTGTGGTCCCAACATCCGTAAATAATTACAACTCCAGTGGTGAAGGTTATGCAGTCTATTCTTCCTGTTGTGTTGCACCAATCGATTTATGTTACTCGCTTGCTGAAGTCCCGAGAGTTGGTGAAGGAGAATTGTGCACGTTCTAGCCTCAGCTTTCAAATTCCAAACCAATTTCAACTTTCCATTTTAATAATATATTTTAATTGTGTATTAATATTTTCAGCTTGTTAATTATTAACATAAATTTTATGCTATATTGAAAATGAGTATAGTGTTTATAACAAATGTGCATAACGACTAAAAGAAAGACGGTAGATAGGGTCGGCTTTGGGGATTTTGATGTCTCGGGCAAAAAATGAGTTTATATACCTCGTAATAATTTATATCAATACTAAAATTCAATATGAAGTAAATAAAAATTGAAAAAACATGATTAATACCTAACTTACAAATGATATAGTATGAAATATATATTCTTATACAGTTATACCTGATAACCAATTCTTCTTGCCTTTTGAAGTGAAAATTTTATTATAAATTACTAAATATAATTTATAAAGAGCAAATTTCAGAATAACTTAAAAAACAATAAGTTCAAGTATAATTGATAAATTCATAACATGTTTTTACAAAAAAAAAAAATTACAATCGTAAGGTCGTTACTATGTAAATCACTCACAACAATAAAATTACAAAAACTAAATACCTCTCCTTTGTAATGTTGTGCTACTTAACTGAAGTTTCGGGAAGCCTTAGAAAAAAAGTTGGAAGATGAGTATTCTCACTACTTAATACGGAGTACTTATTGCCGGTTTAATGCGCCAAACCCCCTGTGATTTGAAAATTCGGTGCATTAGCCCCCTGTGATTTAAAAAATGCGTCAAACCCCCCTGTGTTTTAATTAATCATGCGCCAAATCCCTTATATGAACAAATTCAATTGTCAAATAAAAGAAAAATGATTAACATTTTTGTATGATTCAGAGATTTTGACATATTTATTTGCATATTCAATTAAAATATTAGGAAAAGTGATTTTCAAATCATTAAATTTATTCATAAAGGGGGTTTTGTGCATAAATAATTAAAACACATGGGGGTTTGACGCATTTTTTAAATCACAGGAGGCTAATGCTCCGGATTTCCAAATCACAAGGGGGTTTGGTGCATTAAACCCACTTATTGCTGAATTGATATGTTGGTGATTAGAAGTAAAAAGATGAGGCGATGTAGATTGCACTTCTGAAGGGGCGAAGTGTTCCAAGTTCAACCTCAAAAGACTTTTGCTTTGGTGTTAGGGATGTCAAAAAAAACCGACGCGCAGCGACCCGCCCTGGCCCGAGACATTTGGGGCGGGTCCGGCCCGCCCCGTCTTCCAAATGGGACGGGTCCACCCCGCCCCGCCTATACAATGGGGCGGGTCCGAGTATTAGTATTGACTCGTGCCGTCCCGACCCGCTCAATACATAAGCATACATATTTTTTCTTAAATTATACTACAAATATACTTAAACATAGAAATGTGTGTATACAGTAAATCATAAATTCTTTGATCTTATAATATACTCCGTATTAATTAATACATACTCCATATTAGAATGAGATGAAGGACGGATTATCAATGTCTTCTTTGTATATAGCACTTTAATACATAGTTTAATTATTAGTATAATTAAATAGATTAACTATTCAAGTCTCTGTAATTTTTCCTTAATTTTTGAAATTTTTAAGGTATCATGAATTTGATTTAATATATTAATTTTTAATTATTATTTTGAGAAACTTTATGCAGATTCAATTGGTAACAACTTCCTACAAATAAAATACATACTAGCTAATTAAGTTATGGTGGGGGAAGGTCATGAGTCAACAAGTTTGGACATATGCAGGTCACGGGGCGGGCCGGATCCGCCCCGACCTATTGCCATGCCTGTTTGGTGTTAATAAATAACTCCGTATTAGTGATAAAGGTTGCATTTTTTGGAAAAAGTGAAGGGTCTTTCTATTCACAAACTCAGATTTGCTATCTGCAGCCACCGAATCAAATAAATTGATGTAATTTCCAAATATACCCTTTAAACAAAAAATCGATGCCACAATTTTCATAATAATTCCATCTC